AATTTGCCCATTTCCTCCAGTTCAGTTCAGTCGCTTGGTCGTGTCCGACTCTTTGCAACCTCATGGACTACAACATGCCAGGTTTCCCTGTCCATTACCAATTCCTGCAACTTGCTCAAACTCAAGTCCATCGAGTTGGTAATGCCATCTAACCATCACATCCTCTGTTGTCCCCTTTTCCTCCTGCCTTCAATCTTTCCAGCATCAAGCTCTTTTCCAGTGTCAGTCCTTTGCATCAGGTGGCCAAAGTATTAGAACTTCAGCTTCAGCATCAGTCCTTCCAATGAATATTCAGGACTGATTTCCTTTAGGATGGACTGGTTGGATCTCCTTACAGTCCAAGGGACTCTCAAGAGTCTTCTCCAACACCACAGTAAAAAAGCATCAATCTTCAGTGCTCAGCTTTCTTTATAGTTCAACTCTCACATCCATAGATGACTACTGGAAAAGCCATAGCTTTGACTAAACGGACCTTTGTTGGCAAAGTAATGTCTCTGCTTTTTAATATGCTGTCTAGGATGGTCATAGCTTATCTTGAAAAGATGCTTTTCAAGGAGCAAGCATCTTTTAATTTCATGGCTACAGTCACCATCTGCAGTGATTTTGGAACCCTCCCCCCACAAAATAAAGTCTGTCACTGTTTCCATTGTTTCCCCATCTATTTCCCATGAAGTGATGAGACCAGATGCCATGATCTTAGTTTTCTGAATGTTGAGTTTTAAGCCAACCTTTTCACTCTCCTCATTCACTTTCATCAAGAGGTTCTTTAGTTCCTCTTCACTTTCTGCCATAAGGGTGGTATCATCTGTGTATCTGAGGTTATTGATATTTCTCCCAACAATCTTGATTCCAGCTTGTGCTTCATGCAGCCCAGCATTTCACATGATGTACTCTGCATATAAGTTAAATAAGCAGGATGACAGTATACAGCCTTGATGTACTCCTTTCCCGATTTGGAACCAGTCTATTGTTCCATGTCTGGTTCTAACTGTTGCTTCTTGACCTGCATACAGATTTCGCAGGAGGCAGATAAGGTGATCTGGTATTCCCTTCTCTTGAAGAATTTCCCACAGTTTGTTGTGATCTACACAGTCAAAGGCTTTGGCGTAGTCAATAAAGCAAAAGTAGATTTTTTTCTGGAACTCTCTTGCTTTTTCGATGATCCAGTGGATGTTGGCAATTTGATCTCTGGTTTCTCTGCCTTTTCTAAATCCAGCTTGAACATCTGGAAGTTCACAGTTCACGTACTGTTGAAGCCTAGCTTGGAGAATTTTGAGCATTACTTTGCCAGCGTGTGAGATGAGTGCAATTGTGCAGTAGTTTGAACATTCTTTGGCATTGCCTTTCTTTGGGATTGGAATGAAAGCTGACCTTTTCCAGTCCTGTGGCCACTGCTGAGTTTTCCAAATTTGCTGGCATATTGAGTGCAGCTCTCACAGCATTGTCTTTTAGAATTTGAAATAGCTCAACTGGAATTCCATCACCTCCACTAGCTTTGTTCCTAGTGATGCTTCCTGAGGCCCACTTGACTTCGCAGTCCAGGATGTCTGGCTCTATGTGAGTGATTACACCATCATGGTTATCTGGGTCAGGAAGATGTTTTTTGTATGGTTCTTCTGTATACTTTTGCCACTTCTTCTTAATATCTTCTGCTTCTATTAGGTCCATACCATTTCTGTCCTTTATTGAGCCCATCTTTGCATGAAATTTTCCCTTGGTATCTCTAATTTTCTTGAAAAGATCTCTAGTCTTTCCCATTCCATTGTTTTCCTCTATTTCTTTGCACTGATCATTTAGGTAGGCTTTCTTATCTCTCCTTGCTATTCTTTGGAACTCTTCATTCAGATGGGTATATCTTTCCTTTTCTCCTTTGCCTTTAGCTTCTCTTCTTTTCTCAGTTATTTTTAAGGCCTTTGCAGACAACCATTTTGCCTTTTTGTATGTCTTTTTCTTGCATTTCTTCCAAGTTGACCATTTTATTGGCATATAGTTACTTGTGGTCTCTTATGAGCCTTTCTATTTCTGTAGTGTTGGTTGTAACTTCATTTCTGAGTTTATTGATTTGGGCCCTCTTCCTTTTTTTCCTGATGAGTCTGGCTAAAGGTTTGTCAGTTTTGTCTTTTCAAAAAAACCAATTTTTAGTTTCGTTGATCTTTTCCTTTTTTTTTTTTTTTCTTATCTCTATTTCAGGTATTTCTGTTCTGATCTGTATGATTTCTTTATATTCTTTGGATTTCGTTTTTCTTTCTTTAGTTGCTTCACATGTAAGGTTGGCTTGTTTATTTGAGATTTTTCTTGTTTTCTGAAGTAAGCTTGTATCACTATAAACTTCTCTCTTAGAACTTCTTTTGCTGCATCCCATAGGTTTTGGGTCATCATGTTTTTATTTTCATTTGTCTCTAGGTATTTTTTTTTATTTCCTCCTTGATTTGTTCAGTGGTCCATTAAATTACTGGCATATTACAGCCTCCATGTGCTTTTGTTTTTTGCAGTTGATTTCTAACCTCAACCATGTTGTGGTTGCAAAAGATGCTTGATATGATTTCAGTTTTCTTAAAATTATGCAAGCTTGTTTTGCAGTGATCTGGAGAATGTTCCACATGCTTTTGAAAAGATTGTGTATTCTGCTAGTTTTGAGTGGATTGTTCTCTATGTTTATATTAACCAATTTAGTCTAATATGTTCTTTAAAGCCAGTGTTTCCTTACTGATTCTTTGGTCTACATGATCTGTCCATTGATGTAAGTGAGGTGTTAAAGTCCCCTAATTTATGTGTGTGTGTGTGTGTAATATATAAAACCAGTGGCTCAGTGGTAAAGAATCTCCCTGCAATGCAGGAGACACAGGAGATGCAAGTTCAAACCCTGGGTCAGGAAGATCCTCTGGAGAACAAAATGGCAACCCACTCCAGTATTCTTATCTAAAGAATCCAGTGAACAGAGGAGCATGGTGGGCTACAGTTCATAGGGTTGCAAAGAGTGGGGTATGGCTGAAGTGACTGAGCACAGCAGCACAGCACATTATTGTGTTACTGTCAATTTCTCCCTTTATGTCTGTTAACATTTGCATTATACATTGAGGTGCTATGTTAGGTGCATATGTATTTACAATTATTATAGCTTCTTCTTGGATTGATCCCTTAATCATTATATAGTGTCCTCTTTTGTCTTGTAACAGAGAAGTTCTGGATTTGTTTCTGTAAGTCTCCTTTTTCCTGTCTTTTGTTCTCTTCTCTTGTGATTTGATGTGACTTTCTTTAGTGTTAGACTTGTATCTCTTTTTCTTTTTTGGTGTGTATATCTATTACAGATTTTTTGATTTGTGGTTACCATGAGATCTTTGTATAGCAATATGTATATGTAAGTGATTACTTTAAGTTGCTCATCTTATAATTTCAAATGCATTTTTAAAAGCCTGCATTTGTGTTCTCCTCCTTACTGTTATCATATTTTACACCTATTTTATGATCCCTTAACTGCTTATTGATAAATGATTTTACTAGCTTTGTCTTTTAACCTTCTTACCAGCTTTGTGTGTGGATTACCAGCTTTACTGTGTGTTTTTGCCTTTACTGGTGGACTTTCTCATTTCTTAATTTTCTTTTTCACCTTGAGACATTCCTTTGTCATTTGTTGTAAAGCTGGTTTGGTGGTGCTGAATTCTTTTAGGTTTCTTTAGTCTGTAAAGTTTTTGATTTCTGTAAAATCTGAACAAGATCTTTGGTAGGCAGAGTATCCTTGATTGTAGGTTTTTCCCTTTCATCACTCTCAAAGTGTGTGATGTGCTGTTTTGGTCAGGTTTCTTATTTTCCGGTGGTATTTTGAATTTTTAAAAGCATATGTTTGTGCTTTCTTGTCATCTTAGGAGACTTTGGGACAGAAATCCATCTTGATCTAAAATCCAGATACCGTGACTTCCCTAGTGGTCCATTGGTTAAGAATCTGCCTGGTAATGTAGGAGACAGGGATTCTATCCCTGGTCTGGGAAGATTCCTCATGCCATGGGGCAACTGAGCCCATGCACCACAACTACAGAGCCTACACTCCAGAGCCTGTGAGCCACAACTACTTAAGCCTCCTTGCTCTAGAGCCTGCATGCCACAACTACTGAGCCTGCATGCCACAACTACCAAAAGCCCATGTGCCCTAGAGCCTGTGCTTTGCAACAGGAGAAGCCACTGCACTGAGCAGCCTGTGCACTGTAGCTAGAGAAAGGCCACACACAGCAACAAAGATCTAGAGCAGTCAAAAATAAAAATAAATAAATAAAATTAATTTTAAAAATGTCTGGATATGTTTCTGCAACCTAAATTAGGTTATATCACTTCCATCCTGTAAAAGCTCTAATGGCTAATTGTCAGCAGTGAGAAGGTGTGATAACCACATCTGCCTTGCTCCCACTGTGGCCTGCAGTCCAGTCACTACAATGTACCCTGTGACCTTGTCTGACTGAACTGTTTATACTGTGTTACCCCTAGCAGTTTGGGTCCCCATTTTGGACCTGCTGTCACTCAGAATGCTTTTGCACCCCTTTTTCTATGGAAACCACTGCTAATTTCCTAAAACTTATTTCACATATCACCTCTTCAATGGAGACTGATATGACCATAGATGGAGTGCTGGGCTCCCTCTCTGACCCATGTCATGCCCCTCACTGGCCTTTCTGCCTCAACTCTTAAAGCAGCTTGCTTTGTTTATAAATGTACACATTTGTATATGTCTACAACCTAAGAAGTTTTTGAGGATATTGTTTTATTATCTTTCTTTTGTCACCACCTCTTCTGGTGCCAAATTTGACATTCAGTGAAAACTTTGTTGGTGGCTTGGAAATTTTAAAGTCATGTATTTCAGTTCTCATGTAAATGAAGGGATGAAAGAATACATAATTGCCTTTTATCCCACAAAATAGAGTGCAAAAGTTGGGACCCAATAGACATTCTGTAACTTACCATGATAAGAGTGATGTGTTCAAGCTCTGGTACTTGTTTCCTACATCACCTAGTGATTCCTGCTTCTGATTCACTGCTCTTACAGGGGTCATTCTCATTTGAAGATTTATCTGTGGACTTCACCCAGAAGGAATGGCAGCTACTGGACCCCTATCAGAAGGACTTATACAAGGATGTCATGTTGGAGAATTATAGCAGTCTCGTGTCACTAGGTAAGAAAAGCTACCCAGGACTTCCCTGGCAGTCCAGCGGTTAGAACTCTGTGCTTCCACTTCAGGGGGCCTGGGTTCAATCTGTGGTCAGGGAACTAAGATCCTGAGAGCTTTGTGGCATGGCCAAAAAAAGGAAAAACTGCCCAGAAGACCTTGTATTGTGTCTAGTACCATGCTTGTTTTTTAGTTTCTGAGAGCTCTGGGACTTGCAAAATTTTAATGATTTTTGGACCTAAATTTTAGAAATCAAAGTTCTTGGACTATGAAAGTCCCAGGGAAAGTATTTGAACCTCACCTTCCAATAATGAAGTCTTAATTTCATTGTGCTGCCTCTGAAGCTAATAGTAATAGTGGTAGTGAGGCTCCTGAGGCTTTGCCAACAAAGGTCTGTGTAGTCAAAGCTGTGGTTTTTCTAGTTGTCATATATGGATGTGAGTGAGAGTTGGACCATAAAGAAGGCTGAGTGTTGAAGAATTGATGCTTTTGAACTGTGGTGTTGGAAACGACTCTTGAGAGTCCCTTGGACTGCAAGAGGATCAAACTAGCCAATCCTAAAGGAAATCTATCCTGAATATTCATTGGAAGGACTGATGCTAAAACTGAAGCTCCAATACTTTGGCCACCTAATGTGAAGAACCAACTCATTCGAAAAGACCCTGATGCTGGGAAAGATTGAAGATAGTTGGATGGCATCACTGACTCAGTAGACATGAGTTTGAGCAAGCTCCAGGAGATGGTGAAGGACAGGGAAGCCTGGCATACTGCAGTCCATGGGGTCACAAAGAGTTGGACACGACTGAGTGACTGAACAGCAACAAAGCTCCTGAGGCATGTAATTTACGAATTTCACATATTGTTCTTATATTGACTCAATCATAAGAGCAATCCTGTCTGGCAGGTGTGTTGCTTTTTTTTTTTCTCATGAGGAAATTGAGACAAAGAAAAAAGTTAAGTATTTTTCCCAAGGCATGATAGCTCGGAAATGAAAGAGCCTGAATTTGAAACAGGTCAGACCAACTACAGAGCCTCTGTAGGGTTTATGGTTTTGGACTTGAGTTATAGAAGTCAAAGATTCTTAGACCTTATTATCCACTGGGGAGACTGTTACTATTCCTCTGAGGACTGTTTACTTTGTTGTTATTCATGAGGGTGGCTTCATTGGGTCAGCTCATTCTAAACCTTGCTCATTCTTCAGAGGCCTCAAAGGCCATGCAGTAGGGGCCAAGGTCTTTGTTATTTTCCCTGAACAGGGTATGAAGTTATGAAACCTGGTGTTATCCTTAAGTTGGAGCAAGGAGAAGAGCCATGGACAGGAGATGGAGAAATTCCAAGTTCAGACTCACTAGGTGAGTGTATGAAGACCAGGCAGAGGAGAGAAGGTGGAAGTCAGTCTCAGCTGGGTGGGGGTTGGCATCCTTGAAATGTGCCTCAGAGGGCTCTTTTCAAAATCTCAAAGCTTTAATGGTGATTCAGAACAGTTAACATGAGCTACTGAAGTGAATCACATTACATGTGGCTTCTTTGCTTGTAGCTTGAAGTGAAATGTTTCCAGCTGGTCTGGCCCATGATGTTACTCCCAGTCTTTCACATCTGGGACTTTGACTTCTTATTAGGTATTCTGTCCCCTGATGTGGTTAATCTCCTTCTGTCCTTCCTCCTCTCTGTGGTCAAAGATACCTGTGCTTGACCATCAGGGCTTTATTTTTCCTCGCTTTGGGTATCTCTGATGTGAAACCCTCTCTGTTCAGCCTTATTATGTCAGAAAATGGATTATCATTCCTCCCAAACTGTTGGTCCACTTTTCCCCTTGGTTGGTCAAGTTCTGTTGTGCTTTTTCTGTAGCTTAGACAAGGAGTATATGGAATTACCTCTTTCTACCATTTTTTTTTACTAAGTTTTTTACCTTTGGAAAACATCTTTTGAAAGACTTCTCTATTCTCACTTAAAACTAAGTCTAGTCTGAACTTCCCAAATTGCTAGCTAATGCAGATCCCGGTTCTCATCTTCTTTTGTGAGTTATGTGGCACCACCAAGCATCCAGCACTGCTCTGATCAGCTGGGCCCTCCTCCTCGTTACCTGTTGTGTAACACTGACTTAATTCAAGGACCCTCAAAAGCAGACCCTGAGATACTTATTGGGACTGTGATCTCCACAGTGTTAGTGGGAGAAGGGGAAGCGAGATGGTGTGAGAGAGGAATGCATGAACAGTGTGCTTCTGGGAACCCTCTGAGGGACCAGAAAGCTAGTACCACCCTCTGCCTCCTGTCTCTCAGTGACTTGAGTATTGCCCCAGGGAACATTAGGGCTCCAGAGTATCTGGCATACCTGCACATGGCCCAAGAAGGCACTTGCAGCCCATCTCCATCTCTTGGTGGAGAGACGTGGGCACCCTGGTTAGGCCCCACAATTGACCTGAGCTGCAGTGTCCTCTGAGTGTGGCTGAAGGGAGGCAGGTGACACTGAGGACCTGTGGAGTAAGCCCATGTAGCCTGTTCAGCGAATACGCCCTTTGCCCCAAGTTGGTGGTCAGTTTCATTCAAACTTAATCTACTGTCTGCTTTCTGTTCTTGTTTACAGTGTTTAAAGTGTTTTTCAAACCTGCAGGTTAGACATTGCAGCCATATTAGGAAACTAAACATTAAAAAGCATTGAGTCCCTCAAATAGCATTTCTAGGTTTTTATTCAGTAAACACAACTATGGAAGAACTTACAGGATATTTTTTTCTTCATAGATCAAGTCTTTCAAGTAAATGGTCACATGACTTGGCACAAGAATAACAAGAAGTTTAAAAATATGAAACAAGATCATGAATGTGATGCACTTGGAAAAAAGTTTAATCTGAGCACGAACTTTATTCCTTTAAGGAAATCAAACAAAGAAGGTGACATAGATGGATTAATTTTAAAACATCATTTAGATTTTCTTATTCCGAAAGCAAACTGTGGAAGAATGGAACCAGCTGACTTAAACATATTTGATAAATTATTTCTCCATACCAAGACTGAGGAAACTGATACTTGGTTAAAATACTATGCATGTGATAAAGTTAGCTATAAGAAGTCACAGATTATCATATATCACAGAAGTCGTTCAGGGGAGAAACTCTATGAATGCAGTGAATGTAGGAAACGCTTCAGTAAGAAATCAAGTCTCATTAAACATCAGAGCAGACATATAAGAGAAATAGCCTATGGCTGTGGTAAATGTGGCAAGACTTTTCCCCAGAAGTCACAGTTTATTACACATCATAGAACTCATACAGGAGAGAAACCTTACAATTGTAGCCAGTGTGGGAAAGCCTTCTCCCAAAAGTCACAGCTAACATCCCATCAGAGGACACATACAGGAGAGAAACCATATGAATGTGGTGAGTGTGGGAAAGCCTTCTCCCGGAAGTCACATCTCATATCACATTGGAGGACACACACAGGAGAGAAACCCTATGGATGCACTGAGTGTGGGAGGGCCTTTAGTGAAAAGTCAAATCTCATCAATCATCAAAGGATTCATACAGGAGAGAAACCTTTTGAATGCAGAGAATGTGGGAAAGCCTTCAGCAGGAAGTCACAGCTTGTCACACATCAGAGGACCCACACAGGAACAAAACCCTATGGATGTAGTGATTGTAGAAAAGCCTTCTTTGAGAAATCAGAGTTAATTAGACATCAAACAATTCATACTGGAGAGAAACCCTATGAATGCAGTGAATGTGGGAAAGCCTTCAGAGAGAGGTCTAGTCTTATTAACCATCAGAGAACCCATACAGGAGAGAAACCTCATGGGTGCATCCAGTGTGGGAAAGCCTTTTCCCAGAAATCTCACCTCTTATCACATCAGATGACACACACAGGAGAAAAACCCTTTGTATGCACTAAGTGTGGGAAGGCCTTCAGCAGGAAATCCCAGCTTGTCAGACATCAAAGAACTCATACAGGTGAAAAACCCTATGAGTGCAGTGAATGTGGGAAAGCTTTCAGTGAAAAATTAAGCCTTACTAATCACCAGAGAATTCATACAGGAGAAAAACCGTATGTGTGCAGTGAGTGTGGGAAAGCCTTTTGTCAGAAGTCACATCTCATATCACATCAGAGGACACACACAGGAGAGAAACCCTATGAATGCAGTGAATGTGGGAAAGCCTTTGGTGAAAAGTCAAGTCTTGCAACACATCAGAGAACCCATACAGGAGAAAAACCTTATGCATGCAGGGATTGTGAAAAGGCCTTCTCCCAGAAGTCACAGCTCAATACTCACCAGAGAATTCACACAGGAGAGAAACCGTATGGATGCAGTCTTTGTCAAAAAGCTTTCTTTGAAAAATCGGAACTAATTAGACATCAGAGAACTCATACAGGAGAAAAACCTTATGAATGCAGTGAATGTAGGAAAGCCTTCAGGGAGAGATCAAGTCTCATAAATCATCAGAGGACACATACAGGAGAGAAACCCTTTGAATGCAGCGACTGTGGCAAAGCCTTCTCTCGGAAGTCACACCTCATACCACATCAGAGGACACACACAGGAGAGAGACCCTACAGTTGCAGTGAATGTAGAAAGGCCTTCTCTCAGAAGTCACAGCTTGTTAATCATCAGAGAATTCATACAGGAGAGAAACCTTTTCAATGCAGTGAGTGTGGGAAAGCCTTCTCCCAAAAGTCACAGCTTATTAATCATCGGAGAACTCATACAGTAAAGAAATCCTAAGAATGTTGTTAATGTTAGTCTTTGACAGAGATCTTAACCTCATCAGTTATGGTAAATCTTTCAGATAATAGTTACATCACATTATCTGTCCAAATACACTTTTAAGTTAGGAACTCCAAATAGGTTATGTTGGGGAAGCTTTCAGCAGATTAATGTGTTTATTATATTAGAATTCAGAGGGAGAATGACCCTATGAATTGCAGTGGATTTCAAAAACCTTTCAAACCTTTTACAGTAGAAAATTAACAGTACAGAAGAATACTGTGACTATCAGAAAGCTTTCCAGAGATCAAATTTCATTAGCCATTGGAAAAATTCCCACTGAAAATGAATCCTATTCCAGTGAGTTAATGAAAACTTCATGAATACAGCAAGTGAGGTGATATTTTCATCAAGAAATAACAGCTCATTGTACATAAGAAGATGCCCTCAGGAATGAATTCTTTGAAAATACTAAATATAGGACAATCTTCGGCAAGTAACCCCACCATGTTGTATCCTGTGGGTATACCTAACAGTTTAAAGACACTAGAAATACATGCCCCTAGAAATAATGCTATAATGGAAAGCCACACACTGTTTATAGACATGGGTACCAAAAATAACTGGTTCTAAATTATATTAAGGCTCAAGTATGAAGTTTCTAAAAATGTGAATAAATTGAGTCATTGGAATACAAAATTTCTCCATAGTATATAATTACGACTTATTTTCCTGTGTCACAGGCTGTGTTTTGTATTTTGGAATTACATATGGTAATGTAATTGGGAGCATGAGATGTACATGCCTTGTAGTGCCTCTGATGTCTATCAAGACATACCATGTGCCACTGGTTTTTCTATTTTAATAATACTATAAAAATGATGACTCGTAGGACATGTCTTACTGCTCAATAAGTAGCATGAGCAATATCAACACATTTCCTCATGATTTGTTAGTTTATAAAAGGCTCTATTATTGTCACTGACCTTTCTCTTTAGTAGCAAAAGCCAACATTATATAAAGTCTTTTGGATCCTAGACTCTGAGAAACAGTTTATATAAAACCTGATTAATAAGTATTCTAGTGTAGAACTGCAGAATGGCACAAGTAAATTGTGAGGAGTATGAACTGTGGCTCTGCACTCCTGCTCAGTGGCATTAACTTGGAGCAGAATGCCCTCCTTGTGTAATGAGGTGCCTCCATGCATCCAGTGTGTGTATCTTAAGTGCTATGTCACCCAAATACAACTTGTATTTTAATTTACTGTGATGAATTGTCATGAATATTGTGTGCTGCTATTATGTTTTTGGTGTTTTGTAAAATATCCCGTAAAAATTAGATGAAGAAACTAGTTATTTGAGAGTTGCTATCCAGAGAATATAAAATATGGAGGATTTTGTGGTGAGAACCATATTTTTGATGTATCCCAGGAAGCCTATTTTGCCTTCCTGCAGATTTCTGTGATTACCAGACAGGTATCAGAAATCAAGCTTTTTATTATTTCATCATTGGAAATGTTTGTGTTTCACTTGCCTTTCACCTGTTGTATCATGCACATGAGGAGGTTCCCATGTGTGCTTACCATTTTATAAGGGTGGTTCCTTCTGAAAATGCACGAACCATGCCTAGGTTTATTTAGAATTTTGTAGCAATCTCTTTATAATGTTGTTCGACAAAATCAACTATGTTTTTTGTATGATGGTGAAATTCAGAAAAGTCTAGCATTGACCTTGTTTCCATACTTGAAAAATTCAAGCCTTCTCTCATGCACAAGTCGTTTTACCAGTGTGGTGTTTGGTACCTTTGATTCTAGCAGTATTTTTTTCTTTACCTACAATTTTACATCATTGTTGGAAAATTGGAATACTAAATAAATGAGGGTAATTTTATGAAATGTTATACCAGAATTTCAACAAAGTCCTATTTCCCAAATTTTTATTCATACATAAATTTATGGACTTCCTACTTTTCTCCCTAATACCTTAAGGTCATTTTACCAGGTTGGTGAAACAGACCTTTGTAAAGGAATGAGTAGTTACAGTGTGATGTTTTACTTTGTGGGTTGTTGGTCCCCCCCCCCCAATTTTTTTCTTTTCCATCTATCCTGGGTCTCTCCTCAGCCCAGTGATTGACTTGTTGGGTCTTGGATTGGGCTGAGGAGTCTGTTGTCTAAAAACTTCCTAGTTTTGCTCACTCCTGTTCTAGATTATTTTTGAACTACTAAGCAGTTAATCTTAGAACTTCCTTTATGAGATGATGAAACTTCACTGGCCTTTTGATTGAATCCCAAGGGCGAATGTGTTTCCTAAGGATCTGATGTCAGTCATCCTGTGTCAGGGCTGATGCTGGCAGCAGGGGTTTTGTTTATCAAAATACCTGATGTTCCACATCCCAGGTGTGTGGTGTAGAACTCACCTGGCATTCCGTCTTCTGAAGGGTCACAGGAGACCTCTGATTGTGAAATTAGAGATTCTTAGTGTCACATTTTTAAGTCACCTTGGTAAACCACAAAAATATATTTCCCCTCACTGATTCCTACTATAAATGCTGCATCAAGAAGAAAGCCAATTTTAAAGTTAGGCTGGATTTATAGTTTTGTGAAGCTCAATAAATGACATTTAGATGGAATACTTGAGGAGGAGCATCTCCTTTCCCTTCCTCTTTCACCACCCACGTTCCTCCATTGGTGTGGAAGCAGTCCTGCAGAGCACACTTTCTATTCTATTCCTTACACTAAGTACTGGATCTTCTGGAGGTCCTGTCTATGAATTCTGAGACCTGTACCAGGATTGCCTTGTGTTCAGCTTTTCTTTGTGGGCTTTGATATTTTCAGACACCATTATCTGTATGGTTCTATATGTTCCTGATATTTTGATTGCATGTGACATTTTGATCACATGTTGAACCCTGAGATGAAATGAACCCAAAGAATACCAGACATATCTACCAATATCTGTATTACATAGCGAAGTATACATCCATAGACATTTGGACCCTACACCTGAGATCTCAGTCATTTGGTCATTTACTCCAGTATGTACCCAGATTGTCAATTTCATTGAGTTTGTCAGTCTACAAACATGATGCCAACAAGCTTTCAGATGCTGAGCACCTAGTGCTGGCCTGCATGCCAGTTAACTAACTCAGTCATTACTTTTGCAGCTGTATGCATATTTTTTGCCCTTTTCATCCTTTCAGTCCATTTTTTGCACTTATATATACTAGTTATTTTAAGATGCAATTCTGATTATACACTCTTGTATTGAAATATCATGTGGCTAATTGTAGACTTGGCTTCCCAGGTGGTTCAGTGGTAAAGAATCCGCCTGCCAATGCAGGAGACACAGGAGACATGGCTTCGGTCCCTGGATCAGGAAGATCCACCTGGAGAAGGAATGGCAACCCATTCCAGTATTCTTACCTGGCAAGTCCCATGGACAGAGGAGCCTGGCAGGCTACAGTCCATGAGGTTGCAAAGAGTTGGACATGACTGAGCACATGCACATGCGCGTGCGCATGCACACACACACACATTGTGGACTTAAGGTGTAATATCCTCGTGGTATATCAGGACTTTTATACAAAACCATACCTGTTCATAATTTCTGAATACTTTATCTTTCCTCTTACAGTTTTGGTTTTGTTTTGTTTTTGCTTCCTTAAACTACTTGAGAGTTCCACAGTTTCTCATTTTATGCTTTTATGTATGTGTGCTTTTTTGTTGATCTACTGCCACTGAAATGCCCTTGTTCCTTGTTAATACCTATTCAACCTATGTGAACTTGTACGTGTATTTGTCAGTGGTGATAAAAGCATTGCATGTTTTATCTTTCCCATTAGGAAGCTTCTGGAAAGCTAGGACTCTCTTGTTTGTCTATATAATTTTAACAACCAAAGCTTTGGTTCATAAGTGTGAGTGGTGTCAGTGGCTGTGTTTTCTACCACATGAGGAGGCATAGCTGCAATAAGAGAAGTGTGAAGCCACCACGGAAGCCAAGTCATAAGCATCCTGGCTGGGTTCCAGGATCTGATTCTTGTCTTGAAGTCTGGGTTCATCTCTGCCATTTTCTTGCCTTGATTATTGGACTTTTCTGTGAGATATCCCAAATATCCTTATAATAAATCCCCATGTTTGTTTCAGCTTGTTCAAGTTGTGTTCATTATTGCAACCCAAGTGCTGCTCCTCACTGACAGCAAGGTCAGGCTGTGTCATAAGTTGGGGCCTCTGGAAGCAGATACTGAGATGAAGTTTGGTGTGTAAGATGTTTATTGAGAATCAACATGAAGTAATGGGAGAAGAGAAAGGAATGGATTGGTCAAAGGAAAAATCATAACTGCACTGTAGGTTGTGGAGACCTTGGCCAGACCAGCAGGGGCTCTGAAGAGAATCACTTGTAAAAGTGTCTCATATTTGGCCATGACATCCAGGCCCTTACAACCTTGGGTTGTCAGTCAGCAGAGGCAGGCCGCCCTGGAGAGAGCATGAGCTCAGATGAAGCAGCCCTTTTCCCCTGAGACCAACTCTGGACAAGCTGGTGAGTAGAGGAAGTCCCAGCCACTGGGCAGCAGGTTCCTGGAAGAGGGATCTGGGTGGTTCAGCTCCACGACTGCACAGAGCATTCCTTCCAAGGTTGGGTTTGTCTAGAGAGAGACGAAGAAGAGGAAAATCAGGATGAACTACAGACCTCCTGTTGCAACTGTTTGCTCTCACCTGTTATGCATTCTAGATTCTCACAGCTACCACCCTTACTGACATGAGCATGAGCCAGATCCTCATTCCTAAGGGCTCTGGGCCCTGGCCACCAATATCTTCTCACACCCAAGCTGTGATGTTTCTCCAGTTACCATCACAAGTGGGAAAGAAAACTCCAAGAAGAATCTCGGTGGGTTACCACATCAACTCAGATTCCCTGCCCCGTGTATGATGGCAGCCCATTTTCCCCATGGTGTATCAGACACCCTGCAGAAACAACAGCTCCTCTTTCCTGCTGGTCCCTGGTTAC